CAGGTGATCCAGCACGGGCCGTAGGCCAGCCCTGGGCAAAGAAACCAGCACCTCATCAGTCTTCCCTGAGCGTCACAGCTCGGTGATCGCGCCGGCCGGACACCACTGTAACGTCCGTTCCGGGCATTTGAACGCGACCTTCGGGGGCAAAGACATGGGCTCTATGGCTCAGACTGGACTCCTCTTGGTCCCTTCTGATGCCCTAGGCCACACCTGGGCCTTACCTGGGGCTCTAGGGGCCGGGCGGGGTTTGCCCCCCGAAACTGGCCCGGAGGACCTTAAACAAGACAACTCTCTCTCACAGCACACAGGCTCGACACAGGTGCGAACTGGCGCGTGCTAGTACTATCACCGGCACACCACCGGAGCCGCCTAAGCGACTCCGTTAAGAACGGCAATGCACTTAGCTCCGTGCACAATGCCGCTGTCCCCGCACGCTAGCTCGTTCACCGTCTGCCACGCCACGGCGGTGTGGAGAACGACAGACAAGCGCTGCATCTGCAGCCCGTGCCAGTTCTTGGTGGTCCATGTGACCTCATCGAGGTGCTGAGCGTGCGAAAGTTTGTTACTCAGCTGGTCCGCCGCCTGCCGAAGAATTCTGCGGACGCCGTCCCCGAAGCCGCCGAACGTCTCGAAGTCGAGCAAACGCAGGTCGCAATTCTTCTCCCGCGCGAACCGGTAGTCGCCCTTCTCGTAGCGGGCCGTCACAGGTGCCCCTGCCTCCGCCTCCGCCTCCCCCTCACTCTCCCCCTCCTCCTCTTCCGCCGCCGCCGCCTCCGCCTCTGCATCCTCCGCCTCCCTCCCCCAAAATTCTTTTGACAAAAAACAAATTGTAAAGCGCGGGCCGGCCCTCAGCGGAGCTGGGAATAGGACCGCCGCAAGCGGCGTGGCGTGGAGCGGTTGAGCATCCCTCCGGGGGCCCCTCTGCGCCGGGGAGGCGTTGTTGGAGGCTAGGACGCAAGCGTCCGTCGCCCTTTTCAAACTCGGGGCCCACTCCGCTACTCGAGTACGCTCCGACCCGAATTTGGAGGGCCTAAAAGTTTAAGGTGTTGCTGCGCAAATGGGGTCGGACACAGGGCGCAGCTCATGCTAAGAGCTAGATAGAAGGGGAGCTAGAGAGAACGACTACCCTGTCCCGTTATTGCGTACACCAACACCACAAAAGCTCTCTCTCTCTCCTGTCCTCACTCAGGGGGGTGCCACAACTACCCCGAGTCCCTCGACTAGCTGCCACGTTGCCGACCGAGAGCGGATCTCCTCCTGCTCCGCAAGGAGGGTGGCCAAGGCTAAAGTCTTGCCGGAGCCGCCGGGCGCGTTGACGACTTGGAGAAGGTCGCCCTTGTACTTGTACTTGTAGAGATGCTCGAGGGGGTGCTTTGTGGGGCGGTGCGCAGCCAGGCCAGCAGTGAGGGGAGGCGCACCCTCACTCTCCTCGGTTGCAGAGCTCGTCGGAGGCTGCGGCACGACGGGAGGGTCGCGACAGCAGTCCTCGGGCGAGCCGACGCGCATGTCCGGACTCGTTGTGACGGCAGACGCCGGCTGCCTCTCCAGCCGCTTCTGCAACGTCCTTCTTTGCCCGGTGCATGGGCTCGATCCGATTCCGCAGCGTGTCGTCCCCAGCGGCGGTGCTGCGCGGGAGGCGGCCGCGGGCACGCTGGGCTCGATCAGCGGCTTTCCCTCAGTTGCTCCGAAAGCACGGATTTGGCGGACGTTCGAGGCTTCAATTATTTTTACGGATGTGGCACCAGCTGAAGGCTTGCACGGCGCAGATCACATGGTTTCTGCAAGGTATTCGGATTTTGCTATTTGGTTGTGTGGGGGTATATTGCAGATTTGTCAATGGTACCGCGTCTGCGACGCGGGCGCCTTGCGGGCAGAGCCCTTAGCCACCCTTCATATCTTGCGCGGTCAAAATTCTTTTGACTTGGTCCACCGAGCTGGCTGGCTCAGAAGCAGCGCATCTCAGTCGTTATTCACACGGCCATCGCAGAGCAGATTGTGAATGAGCTTGCCTGCGGCGAGGGCGGTCGAGTGCACGGAGCTAGGTGCCTCGCCGTCCTCGCGGGAGTCGCTTAGGCCGTTAGGCGGCTCCCGCCCGTGGTGTACCTGTGTTAGTGCCAGTGCGCGCCAGTCCCGTGCCTAGTGTCGTGCGAGGGAGTTTTGTTGTAAAATTCTTTTTGAGGTAGGCTTGGCTTGTCCGACCGAAGCGTTGCCTCGAGGAGCCCGGGCGCACTCGACGTGGCCCTCATAGCACGCGATGAGAAGAGCGGAAGCGCCGCCGCCAGTCGTCGCCCCGACGCGCTCGCGCCGGCCTCGAGCAGCAGCCGCACCGCCTCGGCTTGCCAAGCGGCCCAGGTGAGCAGCGTGTCTTGCTTCTCGGTGTCGAGCCGCGCGTTGAGAGTGCCGCGCGTCCGCCACCCGGCGAGGAGGGCTCGCAGCGCGGCCAGGTCGCCCACCGCGGCTGCGCAAGGTCGCCCACCTGGGCTCGGGCGGCGGGGCTGAACGCGCCCTCCAAGGGGGGCGTAGTACATACAGATAGACCCTCCAATCATCAGAAAACTCTAACCTGATCGGTCGTACTGACCGCCGACAGATCACTCCAGACAGCAGACAGGCCGACGCGTCTGCACGCGGCCGGCCGGGCGAGAGGCTTGACACGATCCGACCCTGCGACCCTGACGCTGCTGCTCTAGCTATCAGAGATGATCTGCTGACCGCTGCCACAATGTGCGCCCTGTGCTGGCCCACTTGGCGGCCTTCCCGGTCAGTGGTGAGGCGCAGGGTCAGTTCAGAGCTGTCGATGCATGTCGCAAGAGGCGTGATAGCATGGCCGCATTGCGCAAGTACGCCGAATTCCCATGAAAACAAGTAAAAAATCGCGCAAAAACGAAAAAATGTTGAAAAAATCGGTCACAGCGCCCCTCGCACGACACTGGGCAACGGCAAGGAAGAAGAAAAACCCGGGCGCTCGCGAACACACATCATTTACTCGTCCCGCCCCCGAGCGAGACAGCGGGGAATACGTACAACTCAGCTCAATCCCAACTCGGACTCAACAAGTAGCCCTCCCCCCCCCCTCCCCAGCCGCCAGCCGCCCTTGCTCAGCACATGTGCATGTGCATGTGCATGGACTCGCAGCATGCCCGCGCTCCTGGACGCGTTGTGGTGAAGCGGCTCGTCACGCCGCCTCCGCGCCCTCCACCTCTTCCGAGCACGACGCGCCCCGCGAACGCTGCGCCCTGCGGATCCGCGGGCTGTCCACCCTCCGCAGTCCGGACGGGCTGTCCTCCCCAATCGTCGGGGTGGCCGCGCCTACCTCGGGTGACCTCGGGTGACCTCGGGTGACCTCGGGTGAGCCCGTCAACTACACTCCGCCGCAGCGCCCCCCCCCTCCCTCCCCCCTGGCCCTCCGCGCACCCGACACGGCACGCCGAGAGAGCGGGCGGCTGGCCTCCTCGGCGCACAGCGACGCGCGCGGCGACGACGCGTCGTCAGCGGCGCAGGGGCGCGGCAGAGCGACCTCGGCCGCAAAGAGGGCGCACGCGCAGCCGAGGACGGCGCCAGTCACGACATCGGCGGGGTGGTGCCAGTTGTCGTGCACGCGAGACGAGGCGACGGCGGCTGCGGTCGCGGCGGGCAGCGCCGACGCGGCGGCGAGCAGCGCCTGCACGAAAGTTCAGGGAAGGCTCAGGGAAGGTTCAGGGAGGCTTCCTGGCCGCGGCGGCGAGGAGCGCCTCGGCTTGGCCGCCGCAGTGGCCGCCGCCGCCGCTGCCGCAGCCGGCGCGGCGCGCGCGCAGCAGGTAGAGGGAGAGGAGGCCGAGGGCTGCAAAGGAGCTGGAGGAGTGCCCGCTCGGCCAAGAGCGCCGGCCGGTGGCGAACTCGTGCGAGCAGTCGCCAAGTTCGTCTGACCAGCCGCACCCGGCGTAAAAGTTGGGGCGCAGGAAGCCCGCGTACAGCTTGAGCGAGTTGGTCAGCAAGGTGCACAGGCCGAGCGACACGAAGAGCGCGGTGAGCGCCGGCCACGCCTCGTGCTTCCCGCCCCAGCGGCGTGGCAGCAGCGTGGCTGCGACGGCGAGAATGAGGCCGGTCGCCGCGACGATGATCACCAGTGCGTAACCTGGCACGGTCTCCTCCACCAGCGCGTGGTCTAGGGTCGCGTCCCGGACCAGTACCGTCTCGCCGCTGGAGAGGTGGATCTTCTGTTTCGGGATAGGCCGCTGCGTGTGCGGGACAACCAGCCCAGGCAGCACGTTCGCCACGGCACAGAACACGGCCGCGGCGACGCAGCCCACCTCGGCAGCCAACCCAGGAAAGGACACCATATTCGCTGACTGGGATCTCAGACGCCGACGGCCCGTCGTGGCTTCGAGAAAAACTTCCGTAGTCAGGGTTTGTGTGTCGTTCGCTCGGGCGCCTTGGGCGTCGGGGTGGCGAGCAGGGGACGCGGCTCTGAGCGCCCAGCGACGCGTGCCGGATGGAGTCCGGCCGCGGGTGACTAGGGAAGTTCGCTCAGGATGTGTGGCAGTCAGTTTGGCTGAGTGAGTGTCTTGTCTTGTGGTTCTGTGTGTCGCTCCTGTGTGACCGTCATCGCCCGTCCTGCGTCCACCCATACCGCGTTGGTGTCCCAGTCGTTGGTCGGACTGTGTTTCGCCTTCCCATCAATCAATCAATGTGTGTGGCTCGTCATCTACCCAATTTGTTCTTTTGACGCCGGCTGCCGGCTGGACGCCTCATTTTAGGAAAGGCCATCAGAGAATAGCCTTTCCTAATAAGGCGTCCAGCTTGAGGTTTCGAGAAAAACCGAAAAACAAACACCGAAAAAAAATTCTCTCTGAAAACCCGAGGACAAAACGATGAGAGCATAAGGGTTTGGATTGGCCTTCACGCCACTCTCCCGAGGTCGTTCGAATCTCCGGCTTCGAGAAAAACTTTCCGCGCGGCGACCAGAGCGGTGTGTGTGTGTGTCTGTGTCTGTGTGGCTCCTCCTCTATACGGGTATGTTCGTAAGAGCTACATACACTGAAAATTCTCGCAGACCTTTGGAAGAATTCTTAAAATACAAGCCTCTCTCACAGCACACTCTACCCTTATAAGTCTCTCGTGTCGGCGCCGACGCTCTTGGTTTAACCGTAGAACGTCCCAGCCGAAATCCGCCCGCCACGATCGATCAGTCCACAATCGTCGGCCCGCAGCGACCCGCAGCGATGGATGCCGCCGCCCCCCCGGCCCCTGCGGCTGACGCGCCGATGCACGACCGGCCTCCGTCGGATGGCTCTCCGGCCTCTCCGGCCGCTGACGCGGCCGCCCATGCTGCTGCCGATCCGGTCCCTCTCACGCTCAGCGATATCCGCACAAGCTACGACAACTTCGAGGTCGCCGGCTTTGGCCAGGTGCAGAAACCAACCTGCTTGCCTCCATGTTCACGCTTCGCGCCCCTTCCCCCCCTCTGACGCCGTCGTATGACCGTAGGTGAGGGGCACGACTACCCGCCTGGAAGGCGCTCTCATCAGCAAGTCACCCAGGCACCAACTCCTGGGCGTTTACGCTTGACTACGAAACCATGCAGTGGATGCAGCTCGATCAAAACGGCGACGCCAACAGCTGGTCCCTGGGCGAGTTCCTCGCCCAGGATGAGGTGCGAGTCATGATGCTCGACCCAGCGTGCACCAAGTCGCTCACATTCCGTGAGTTCGTCAACGGGCCGAACACACTCTCCAAGTCGACTGCGATCTCGAACTCCGACAACTGGACCGGTGCTCGCGTAGGACGATGGCTCCCTCGACGACATCCCTTCATCGACGGACGCCTTCACCGCCGCCGGCCCTGGGCCATCCAGCGCGGCCTCCGACGGCCTGCACGTGATCGAGCGGGTACAGAAACGGTGGCTGCCGCAGCTCACACCCTAATCGATCTGCCTTAGGCACGGAGCCAACGGAGCCATCGCGCATGCCCGCATCGCGTGCGGCTCCGAGGTCTCCCGCCGAGACCGGCTCGGCGCGGCGCGTGGCCGCACGCCGCCGTTGAAAAGGCGAGGTAGGACCGAGGGGAGAGCGCCGGCCACATCGAGCGAGCGCTGACGTGTAAGGTGTCTGTGCTGCTCCGGTGTGTGTGGGATTCTGCCTCCCCCCCCATCTGTGCGGCGAGATGTTTGCGGCGCGATGCCCGATCGTGCGCGATAGCCTCCCATTGTGCGTGGTGTGTCGGTTGTCGGGGTCGTCCGGAGCGTGTGGCGGCGCCGTTGCATGCAGCGACTGCTCCACGTGCCACGACTGCTTTGACTGACGTGACTGACTGATGAGTGCCACGAACTGCTTTGACTGACGTGACTGACTGATGAGTGCCACGAACTGCTTTGACTGACGTGAACTGACTGATGAGTGCCACGAACTGCTTTGACTGACGTGACTGACTGATGAGTGCCACGAACTGCTTTGACTGACGTGACTGACTGATGAGACATGAGTGCTGATGGATGATCTCCGACAACCCAAACCCAAAATGCAAATGAGTGGCGGCCCACTTTTTGGCGTGCAGATCCTGCGTCTCTCACTGCCCGAACAACAGAGACGGGTACCGCCGCAGGTCCCACACTAGTGCAGGAAGAAATACGGATGCGCTGCTTGCCGCCCGCGTCTGCCGCTCGTCCACACCCACCCAGCCCCTGCCGTCCCACGCCCAATGCGCGCGACATGGACACCCGCATCGGACAGCAGCGCCACCGGCCGCTTCTCGCAGCGCCACCGCGATGCTCTCGGCAACGACGACTACAAGCGCTGGCTAGCTCCTGACGAGGAGGACGTGAGCACCGCTCGGCTGCCCGCTGCGGTGCTCCTGCTCGCTGCCTGTCTGGCCGCGCTGCTGGGCCTCGCGTGGCGCAGGCTGCGGGTTATGCGCGCCGACTGGGCTGCGCGGCGCCTGCTGGCAGAGGAGCCGACTCTCGACTGCACTGAGAGAGTTCATCCCACCATCAGCACCGTATTCGCCCACAGCATGCCATGAGATTCATATAGGTCTAGTGTACACATCAGCTCAGCGAGACCAATATCTCCAGCCTGTTAGTGCCACGGGGGAGGGTCCACGAATTCTCGCTTCGAGCTAAGCAGTACCGGTAAAAGAAAAACAACGACTTAGAGCCTGTTTTTGCCACTTCGTTAGCTCTCCAGGGGTCTCTAATCTTGAAATCCGCCGACCAAGTCGCAGGTGGTGCGGGACGCCTTTGCGGCAGCCACAGCCACCGGCGCGGTCGGGGGCGTCAAGCAGCGCTTCTGCCGGCTCTGCGACGTGCCGGTCGACGACGACCACCTGCTCGCGCACACGTCCGGCAAGAAGCACCAGAGGCTGCTCTCCAAGACGGTGGTCGACGAGCAGGGGCGGCTCGTCACGGGCGACAAGGTGCCGTGCTGGTGCTGGCGCGAGGTTGCGCCACCCCCGCCACCGCCGCCGGAGGCACCGCCTGCCGATGCAGCGGAGCTCGGCCGCGAGGCTGAGCGCTTGCGAGAGCGATCCAGACCGAAGGGGCAGCCGGCGCAGTGGGAGACCGTGTCTGGCAAAAGTGGGAAGAAGCGGAGGTGAGAGTCGTTTTGTGTGTTCATTCGGCTGCACACAGCCCAACAGGGCACAAAACATACGTGCAACTCCTTTCAGGCGCGTCTGTCCTTCTGTCACGCACACACTAGTCACACTACATCACCCACGCGCACGACCGGGCCTTGCACTTTGAATGCCGTGGGGCTCCTGTCGTTAGACGGTGGAGACGCGAGGCCGAGGGTTGCCCCCCCCCCTTGCCCCACCACCTTGTGTGTGTGGAGAAGTTTACCTTACCTTACCTTACACGCGCGCTGTCACTTCCGACAGTCTCTGCACAAGTCTTCACAGTCGACCACACATCTCGCGCACGTGTACGTGTGTGTGTTCCCCTTCGCTCTCATAAGACACAGGGCGCACTCTGAAGATCACTGACGTCTCTCCCTGGGTACCCACACGGTACGCTCACCCGCACGTACCCCGACACCGCTCACCGGCCGTCGCCTCGCTTCTCCCTCCACCCCACCGTGGCCCTCTCAGTACTCAGAGGAGCTCCCGCACAAACGCGAGCGACGCAGAGAGCCGCTCGAGCGTCACCACGAGCGCCACCGCCTCCTGCCGCGTCAGAGCCGGCGCAGGCCCGTCGGCGTCGGCGAGCAGCACGCGCACCGCTGTCGCGAACCCGCGCGCCTGCAGCGAGATTGCCCGAGAGTCCCCGAGATTGCACGAGATTCCCCGAGATTGCACGCCCCCGGCCTGCAGCCCCAACTCTCGCCGCTCTTCTGTGTTGCGGGTTGTGACGAGGGGTGAGGGGGGCGGATTGAAGACCCCTCACACCAAGATCGCGCAGGGCGGGGACACACGCACATGCACATGCACATGCACTTGCACACGCACACGCACATGGTCGGGTGTGTATGTGTGTGTGTGGTGCGCCCCACCGCCCATCTCGTCCGAGTATGACGCGTGTGACTTTCCTTTCCCCTTAGGCCGCGCGCCTGCAGCGTGCCCCACAGCTTGCAGCGGTCGCAGCCGACGCACCGCATGATGCGGCCGAGGTGCTCGAACCGCGCCTGAGTCCGAGCCAACCACGCGCCGGTCATCACTGGCGCACGCACCGCGCGACGCGGCCGAGGTGCTCGAAGAGCGCGCCTGCAGCATCTCGCGCCGCAGGCCCTCCCCGTCGCCCTCGAGCAGCGACGTCTCGTCAAAGCTGGTGGGGCACGCCTCGCCCAGGGCACGGATGCCTGATTCACCAACTCAATCACTCAGCCAACCAACGTGCTCCATCGGCACGCCTCGCCCCGTGTGCGCGGGTGCCCGGGAGAAGCCTCGTCTCCCACTCCCGCCTCCCCTCGCCCATGGCCGCGCCTGTCCACAGATGTAGGTGTGAAGAGACGCCGTTCACAGACTGCCCCCCCTCGCCCATGGCCGCGCCTCACGGTTAGGGCCAGGGCCAGGGTCGGGGTCGGGGTTAGGGTTGGGGTTAGGGTTAGCCTCCCCTCGCCCATGGCCGCGCTTTAGGTGTGAAGAGTAGGTGTGAAGAGTAGGTGTGAAACGCCTCCCCTCGCCCATGGCCGCGCGCCTGCCGGCGGCACCGCAGCCGTGATCGCGTCCCCAGCCTTGACGACGGCTCGGAGCATCACTGCGAAGGCGACGTAGAGGTTGTCGAGCCGCTCCTGAGAGCGAAACACATCGGGTGAAAGAAGAAACACGCGCGCCGTACCGAGGTTGTCGAGCCGCTCCTTGTGCGCGAGCACACGGCTATGCGCGAGGGAGCGGTTGACGCCCCACCGCAGGCACTCGCCGCCGGTCTCTGGCTGCAGGCAGTACCTGAAGCAGAGAGACGCCCGGGTGGGAGAAGAAAGACTGAAGACTCGCCGCCGGCCTATGCGTGTCGGCGGAGTACGTGCGCGCGATGTGCAGCGAGATGGAGGAGTGCAGTCCGGACAGCACGCGGTTGTACACCCGCTGCTCAGACGGGAGCAGACAGAGCTCGTCGTCGCCGCCGCCGCCGCTGCCGCCGCCGCCGCTGCCGCCGCCGTCGCCGCCGCCGCCGCTGCTGCCGCCGCCGCCGCTGCCGCCGCCGTCGCCGCCGCCGCCGCCGCTGCTGCCGCCGTTGCTGCTGCCGCCGCCGTTGCTGCCGCCGCCGCCGCCGCTTCTGCCGGCCGGGGAGAAGCAATTCTCGCCGTGGATGGCGCTCCACACTCTCGCGGCAGAGGCGCCGCCGTAGCCCGTATGCCTCTCGGGATTGAGAGCGAGGTTGACGACGACGGCGCCGGTCTCGGGCACCACCGCCGCGCCCTGCTCCGCCGCGCCCAGGCCAACCCGCACCTCAGCCGCCACCGAGATGTCGAGTGGCGTGTCCTATGTGCTGAATACGCCAACCTCAGGGCGGGGAGACGGTATTGTGCAGCGTATTCAGAGTACCGCGTGAGTACAACGGAGAGGAGGACAGTGAATACAGCGGAATGCGTGGGGTACAAGAATACGTGTTTCGCTTCTAGTGTCCTCCTCCTCTTGCTGACTGCACGCCGCGCTGCCGGTCACCCTCCACGGCGCGTCGGCGCCGGTGACGGCCCAGTCTGGCTCTGGCCCACCGCCCTCCTCTCCGCACGGGCAGACGGAGCAGTTGCGCAGCACGCAGAGCGGGTCGTCCTGCCAGAGCTCACACTCTGAGCAGAGCGAAATGGCGTAGTGCGAGAAGAAGGGCGTCGCGACCACCCGCTGGAGCAGTGGGTGCACGCTCTCCGCGTTGGAGCGCTCGAGGTCGCCGAACGCGCAGCAGCAGTCCGGAACTGAAGCGCTGCTCGGGCCGAACGGGTAGACCGGCTCCGGCGTGATGCAGGTGCAGTTCCCGGGAGACGGTGGGGCCACGTCGAGCAGACCTGCGGCCCAGAGCGCCAGGGCGAGGGCCAGGGCAGAACCGAGCAGCCACCGGGGTCGAAGCTTCATCCTACGTTGCGCGCCCAACGTAGGGCGAGCTTCAGCACGGACACGTCCTCGACCGGGTGGCACGCCGCCAAGCTGTCCTCTCCGTACGGGTGGTCCGTACGGGTGGTGGCGTCCCGCTCGAGTCCGAGACCGGCATCCAAAAAAGAAACGCGAGCCGGCGGCCGACCGTCGAGATGCCGGCGCTGGCGGCGGTCGGGCGGGCGGGCGCGTAGGCCCGGCGAGGCGGCGGGCGGCGGGGCGGCCGGCGAGGCGGCTGGC